TCTACTTGGTTTAATCTTGGGAGGAGCGCATTAATATGTCCAGGAATTTATCCATGTCTTCTAGATTTTCTAGCTTATTTGCGTGGAGGTGTTTATAGTGTTCTCTCATGGTAGTTTGTATTTCTGTGGGATCAGTGGTGATCCTTTATTATGTCTATTTGATTCTTCCCTCTTTTCTTCTTTATTAGTCTGTCTAGTGGTCTATCTATTTTGTTAATCTTTTCGAAGAACCAGCTCCTGGATTCATTGATTTTTTTTTTTTTAAGAGTTTTTCATGTCTCTATCTCCTTCAGTTCTGCTCTGATCTTAGTTATTTCTTGTCTTCTGCTAGCTTTTGAATTTGTTTGCTCTTGCTTCTCTATTGTGATGTTAGGGTGTCGATTTTAGATCTTTCCTGCTTTCTCGTGGGCCTTTAGTGCTATAAATTTCCCTCTAAACACTACTTTAGCTGTGTCCCAGAGATTGTGGTACGTTACGTCTTTGTTCTCATTGGTTTCAAATAACTTATTTATTTCTGCCCTAATTTTGTTATTTACCCAGTAGTCATTGAGGAGCAGGTTGTTCAGTTTCCATGTAGTTGTGCAGTTTTGAGTGAGTTTCTTAATCCTGAGTTCTAATTTGATTGCAGTGTGGTCTGACAGACTGTTATGATTTCCATTCTTTTGCATTTGCTGAGGAATGTTTTACTTCCAATTATGTGGTCAATTTTAGGGTAAGTGCATTGTGTTACTGAGAAGAATGTATATTCTGTTGATTTGGGTAGGGAGTTCTATAGATGTCTTTTAGGTCCGCTTGGTCCACAGCTGAGTTCAAGTCCTGAATATCCTTGTTAATTTTCTGTCTTGTTGACCTAATATTGACAGTGGGTTGTTAAAGTCTCCCACTGTTATTATGTGGAAGTCTAAGTCTCTTTGTAGGTTTCTAAGAACTTGCATTATGAATCTGGGTGCTCCTGTATTGGGTGCATATATATTTAGGATAGTTAGCTCTTCTTGTTGCATTGATCCCTTTACCATTATGTAATGCCCTTCTTTGTCTTTTTTCATCTTTCTTGATTTAAAGTCTGTTTTATCAGAGATTACGATTGCAGACCCTTTTTTTTTTTGCTTTCCATTAGCTTGGTAAATCTCCTTCCATCCCTTTATAGCCTTTCTGTGTCTTTGCATGTGAGATGTGACTCCTGAAGACTGCACACTGATGGGTCTTGACTCTAAATTTGCCAGTCTGTGTCTTTCAATTGGGCTATTTAGCCCATTTACATTTAAGGTTAATATTGTTATGTGTGAATTTGATCCTGTTATTATGATGCTAGCTGGTTATTTTGCCCATTAGTTGATGC